ACCGTGTAACAGTATAACCCCTGATCAGTGACGAAGGCCGTCTTCTCCTGATCTTTCTTCCATAAAGGAATTTGATGGAAACCAAAGTAGGCGTCCATAAAGCTCATCAAAGCATGGCCGGCTGTTGAGTCGACCAGGTTATCAATTTTAGGCAGAGGGTAACTGTCTTTGGGGCACGCCTTGTTTAAGTCTGTGTAGTCTACACACATTCGCCAGGTGCCATTCGGCTTTTTAACAAGCACCACATTTGCAACCCAGTCTGGGAAGTAACATTGCCGAATGAACCCTGCATCAAGTAATTTTTTAACTTCGGCGGCTGCCGCCTGACTTCTTTCTTCGCCATGGTTCCGCTTCTTCTACCGTACCGGCTTCTTTTTCGGATCCACGGCCAGTTTATGTACCGCCAGATCAGGACTAATGCATGGCATTTCATGGACTTCGAATGCAAAGATGTCCTTGTATTCTTTCAATAGTTTGTGAAAATCGTCACCCAGGTCCCTTAGAGCAGTCGTCCCAACCTTGATTGTTCTGTCAGGACGCGAGTCATCTAACATCAGGTCCGTATGCTCACCAGCTGGCTGAGGGCGGAATTCATCCGACCGCTCCTCTGCCAATGATTGCTATTTTCTGTCTTTTCTTGCGGCCCCTGTCTGGGATGCCTTTCTCTTCTTGCCGCCTGCTTCTTGAACAGGCGCACTCTCCTTGACATTGTCAAGGTCTATTTTTCCACCGCTCGACATAGTGGCCATAACAGTGGGCTTGACATCCGAGAGATAGCACTCTCGGGCCATCCTCTGATCTCCCCTTAGGGACTCGACTGTTCCATTATCCCTCTCAAACTTGAGCAACATAAGAGATGGGATTATAACAGCCTTGGAATTATTCAAGGTTGGTCGTCCCAGAATCATGTTATAGGCCGAGATTTCTTCTACTACCAGGAACCGGACTACCATGTGTCGTCCTTCCCCTTTTTCGCCCAGGCGGATGGGTAAATCCACTCGTCCCACTGGGTGGACGACTCCTCCTCCAAACCCTACTAAAGGGTGGGATGCCGGATGTATGCAATCAGTCTGATATTTTAGTTTCGACAGACATTTGCTACTGATGAGATCTGAGGAGCTTCCGGTATCTATGAGAATTCAGCCAACTCTCTGGTTGGCCACTTTACATTCAATAACGATAGGGTCGTCATGCAACCCTCTTACCCCTCCTAGATCTTCTTCAGTGATGACAATCTCAGGAAATGAATATTTGGAAGGCCGTTCTTGGTGAACGAAATTTACATCTAACCGTCTGATATTGTCTTTGTTGCCCCTAATAGTGGGGCCACCTCCTGAGAAGCCGCCTGCAATGGTGTAAACGACTGCATCATCTGTATCGGAGCTGTCGGCCTGTTGATTCTTTTTGGCCGACTGCTTTTTCGAGGAAGTGTTCCCCGTAGATTTCTTGACATAAGTGTCAAGATCACCTTGCTCAGCCAGGCGGTCCAGATACCGCATGAGACTGATGCATTCATTGGTGTGATGACCAACATCTTCATGATAATCACATAATTTTTCTTGGTTCCGGTTGTTTGCAGAACCCTTCATGGGGACCGGCTTCTCAATTGAGATCCGTCCCTTGATTTCCTTTAGGATAAATTGGCTATCCTTGTCAAACGCATACTTTGGGGAGTATGGTTTGAATTCTTTTTTCTTTTTCTGGGCCAGCTGTTTAGAGGAATCAGCCGCCCAGACCTCTTTTCTCTTCTCGTCTTTGTTTGACGACTGTTTCTGTCGTCCTTCTCTTTTTTCGGACCTTCTCCCGTCTGACTGTTTTACCGTACTACAAAGATCAGTCGCCTGTATATAAGCTTCCGCTTCAATCAAGGCCTCTTGAAGAGTCGCCACCCTCTTTCGGACCAAATCAAATTTGAAGGTCGACCCGTCTTTGAGACCTCTGAAAAAGTCAGTATAGGCTACTTCATCCGGTAACCCTTGAATCTGTATTCTCATCAGGTTAAACCGCCTGATGTAAGAACGAAGCCCCTCCTTCTCGCCCTGCTGAATTGTTCCTAAATCAAGGGTCGTCTTCTTCGCAGGGATGTTCATGGCGAAGTTGGAGGTGAATAAGTAAGCAAGCGTCTTGAAGTTATTTACACAACCAGTCGGCAGGTTGCCGAACCATTGTTGTGCGATTCCTTTGAGAGTCGCTGGGAAACACTTGCACCAAGTGGGATCATCCAACCCTTGAAGGTACATCAGGTTGGTGAATGCCATCAGATGGTCTTCTGGGTTAGTAGTGCCGTCATAGGCGCCTACTAATACATTTTTCACTTTGGCCGGCTGAGCGGCTTCAGTAATTTCCTTGGAGAAGGCCGACGGCTGTTCACCAAGTCTAAGCAACCGTAGCTGCCAGTCCATAGGTTGGACATTTTTTGCTGCATGTCCACCAAACAGAGGTGGCTGTAAAAAATATTGTTGTTGCGGTACAAACGGTAAGTTTAGTACCGCCTGGTCGCTATGAAAGCCGGACTGACGGGAGGTGCCGCCTGACTGACTCTCATGATACGACTGAGTATGCCTCATCGACGTATTTCGCAGACTGTCTTGGAAGTTTGAAGTAGAGGCCGGCTCTGACAATCGGTCACTCTTCTTCTGCTCTAGCAGTAGCCGAGCGTCTGTGTATGTTTTCCTCGACCCGTCCGCCTGAATATGACGAACATGTTTCCTATTTCCTGGAGTAGGAAAACGGTATTTTGTGAAATCAAGGGCAGGTGGCTCCCACTTCCTAGATTTAGGATGAGGGGTCGCCTCTCGCCCTTGAACTGGCTTCCTCTTCCGTGAAGTGGAGGGTTTCTTAACCGACTGCTCCTTGTCCAGAGCAGGCGGCTTCTTGTTGATCAACTCTTGAATTTCTCCCTTGAAGTCCCTCATGAAGGTCATGAGTTCGTTCCTTGTGATGGGAGCAGACCCATCAGTCGGCTGCTGCCGAACAGGCGGTGCGCCTGCTGGCTCGCTTCCAGTTTGAAGATGTTCCCGTTCCCTCCTTTCGGTATGACGGGTACGTCGGGCCCTTAGGGTCCCGTCTGAAGCTGTGTGAGCTTCAACTTCAAATTCATTCTCAGTATCGTGGTCCGACTGAACTAGAGGGTCGTCCAGGGGACGTCTCTCTTCAGGAGCTGGTACAAACGTGGATGCCATATCAGAAGTACTCTCCCCACAGACGGCGCCAAAATGTTTCGGGGTTTTCTGATGTCCTGCGGGAGAGTTACAATTCCGAGACTGGAACCGGACGCCTGTACCTGCAAAACAAACGGATGCTCCGGATGATTGGAGATCCGCCTCCGACGGTCAAGTTAGTACTTGATTAAGGAGTAATTAATGCGGAAATTAAAGTGATTGGGTCTCTCTAGGTGAGAGAGTTTAATGTGTGTAATCTGCGTAATCTCCCTTAATGAGGATTAAGGGAGGTATTTATAACCTCGGAAAACGTGCCAATCTAGGTTTAGGTTAACCTTGGGCTGATTGGGCTTCCCTCGGAAGTTGGGCCTAGGTGACCGGTTATCCCAGGTGTCATGGGAAGGACACGTGTTGTGTCGTAATTGGTCCATAGTGGACGGATCATTGCTTGACACGTGGCAAGCTCCTATTGGCCCATGTGACGGACACATGGCGAAACCTGATTGGTCCACTTGTCAGATGGTGATTGGTGGGGAAAAATCCCCTAATCAAATTCTACATCTCATATTGCATGCATTAGCACTAGTTCTATACATCAACAATTATGTTATATGTGAATGTTTGTGGTATGACGAGTTTATAATTATGATAAAGACTTACAAGAAGAAACTTATACTTGGGCTTATAATTGTGATGAAAGTTTATATGTTGACTGTCCAATAAGCATGTTATGTATCATGCATGAAAAGTTCCTGAAGAACTTACACACAATGTATTCAAATATCTAGCCCTTCAAATTCTATATTTAGAAGTTGATATTAAACTCATGTTGAGTATTGGTGACTAAGTTATTGAGATATCGCCTGAAGTTCAACCATGTGAGAATTAATTGATTTTGTATTCATTGGGGACTCTCGTATAAAATACAAATTGTCTAAAGAAGAATAGTAATGAGATATATTATTGTAAGAATAATCTCTTTAAGGTCCAGAAGAACCATGAGTAAAAGTATATAGTAATTACTTATGTTATATTATTACTGATTTATAAAAGCTTAGATAATGATATCAAGATATTACGAGTTGTCATAAATTATTATCAATATTTGATTATCAATAGCTACTTTTACGACCTCCAGAAGGCATAATTTTGATGGTTAGGCAACTTGAAACAAAAATATCATATGAGATAGTGGTAAACGCAATATAGATATTGTTCTTACAAGTATGAAGAATGAAGATGCCTCCCACTGAAGAAATTCAAGTTTGATTAGGGAGGATCAACGTTCAAGGAATGTTATTCAGCTACAGTGTGAAGTTACTAAGGCATTGGATCAGATCATTACATTGGAAGATATCAAATTATGAATTCATCAGTGGGAGAAAATACGCGCTGCACTCTTTTTCCCTTAACCATGGTTTTGTCCCACATTAGGTTTTCCTAGTAAGGTTTTTAACGAGACAGTGTCAAAGCGTATTACGAAAGTGTTGTACTCTTTTTCCTTTACTAGGTTTTTATCCCATCCGATTTTTCCTAGTAAGGTTTTAACGAGGCACATTATTTGATAATGGTCATCCAAGGGGGAGTGTTATATAATATATGTATTTAAGTGGATGCCCATTATACCCTTATGATAATTCTAGGATATTCTAGATTTACTAGGTTTATTATCATTCTACAATGAAACCCTAATTGTATCACATGTATATATATATACTCCCACATCATTCAGTAAGATGAATATAGATCTATTCTCTCCTCTATTTTTCCCTTTTTCTCTTTAATTTCATAACAGAAAGTACCTAAAGAGTGAAAAAAGTGAAAATTGAGGGCCTAAACTCAATCCATGGAAAAGTCGGCACATTAATATAAATCGTCCAGAATTTGACTTTGCACAGTTTACAGGTGGAAGTTATTCAAGTAGAATTATGAACATTTAGAAACTAATTCACACATATTATATCATTGATCTGTACATTTTAGAAAAACTAACCATCACATGTTTACTTTCCTGAAGATTGATCAGCCTGCTGTTTTGAAGGATGGAAAACATTATGCATCTTATGCAACAATTTTGACCGATGGTGTGGTTTTGGAAAGCAAGAAGGTTGGCCTGATTCATCGGATGAAGATGTATCCTTCTCCTTGGCCTTAGCTTTGGCCTTCCTCCTCTTGAGTTGGAAGAATTGCTGCATTATGTCGGCACATTCTTCTTGCAGTATCCCTCTTCGAATATCCATCTTTGGGTGGAAAGGGTGTACAGGAGCAGCTGGCTTCTCTGATTCTTCTGGGTGTTGTTCTGCTTCAACGCCATCCGGAAAAAGCCTACAATGCGTCCACAAAAATTAAATCTTTGGAAAAGTTTCTGTACTTAATTTTACAAGTAATGTCTGCTTTAAGGAGGTCATATAGAACAAAGCAAGATACTATGATACGGGAGTATGAGAAATTTCAAGAACTGACATTTTTTTTTAATCTCTTCTTAAAATACAAAAGTTGGCAAAAAAAAAATGTCTATTTATTTTTTTATGAGGCTCAGTTGCTCAGGGTTTCAGGAACATGAGATCATGTCTGTTTATTTTTTTTAAAAGTGAAGAAATGCTTGTATGAGAACAGATTCCGTTTTGCTTAAATCAAAGACAAACAACCACAAAGTTAAGGGCACCGAAAACACAGGTGGGATGAGGATGGAAGGTGCATCTCGCCTGAAAGTCAAAACTAAAAAGATACAAGAGGCGAAGAGGGTCATCTACTTCCAATTAGCTAGTCAGCTAACACCTAATAACATATACTTCGTATTAAGTTACAATGGTCACTAACATGCTGATTTGATGGAAGCATTTTGCTGATATAAATTGAAATAATAAACCAGTCATACTTGTAATTCTCATGGCTATGTTAAGAAACACCAAAAGTCAGTTTCACATAAAGTATTTGTAATAGATTAACATTAGGGAGGGCAATTTGGGAAACTTAGTACTTTTAGGTTAGTAGTCACTTGACCTTAGTATAAATAGGGGTAGTATATGCAGTAGGATGGCATGTGAATTGTGAGGAAAAATGTTGAGAGTAGTAACCTCAAGTTACTAGGAGAGTGATAACCTAAAGTTATCAAGAGAGTGATAGCCTTAAGCTATTAATCTATCCCTTTTGTATCCAATTTCAGCCATTATTAATCAAAGTATCAAGCTTTTATCTCTTAATTAGTCTTTAAATCAGAAAATACTAAGGCAGTCCATAACAGTATTCCAAGTGAATGTAGAGTTTAAAATACCTTATCCAGCTGCCATCAGCTCCAAGAAGCTTATTTGGAGCACCCCAAACAAGGGTACTGATTCTGGCTTGAAGAATGGCTCCAGCACACATAGGACATGGTTCCAGCGTTACATAGAGAGTGGTTTCCTGAAGAAGTAAAAAGGGAGATAATTTCAGGGAATACCAAATCAAAAGAGGTCCCAACAATCGTAAATGTTACACTATGATTTTTTTATTGTTGAAATCAATTAGAGAAGATTGAAAGGGCTGATAGTTATATACACATGACAAACATCATTATTTTTATCGTGCCGAGAAAAATAAAAAATTAACTGTGAAAAATAAATCACGGCAAGAGGACAAGGTGTCCTCACAGCGAAACACTTTTAAAAATTAACCACTTTCCAACTCCCGTATAGTAGAAAGTTCCAGCCACCTTGACCCATTAATAAAGATGCTAACAAAGTTGCTTTGGTTACAGGGAACAGTAATATCATGACAAGCATAATTAATGGTCTTTTTTTTCACCTTAAAAACGTTCGAAAGGATGAGGACGGATACATAACGATGAAAAAACATGAGGGTACATGTGATAATGACAAGAAGAATGGCAATATTATCATATTTTACTATCATAGATAGGAAGTTCTCTTACTATGTATTTAGAGCCTATAAATGGCCTGAACCCCAAGATTCATACTACATCCTCAAAAAATTAAATAAAATCTTAAAGTAAGCACAAAGATACCTTATATAACAGAACTTACATCATCGGCGATCAGGCCTTGAGCAATCTCAAAAAATATAAGTTTCATTATAGCGTATCTACATAATTTACCCATTGTATACTAATTTGGAAATGTCAAAGACATTCCACTTAAATTTTTAATGTTTCCATGGTTATTCATGCATTACAATTTACTGCACATAGTCATTGCCTTACAAATAAACATACAATAATGAAGTCCAAATTCAGGTAACATAGTTCTAGCAGTTGAAGTAGAGAAAAAAAAAACTCAGGAAGACTTACAAAGCACAAGCACAAACAATCAGAAGATTCACATAAGATACCCATGTTCATCCAACCCAAACAGATATCAGATACTTGTGATAGATGAAAAATGGAAAAAGGAGGAGGGTGACAAACACATGCATAAGCTAAAAAATTGATTAAGAAATCCCTGCACCACTTCATCAACTTGTTTTAAGACATGTTACAACATTAGACTACATATGTAAGTATATGCGAAGAATCTGGCCATCTGTTTTAAGGGAATATTCTAACTTCCTAAGTATCTCATATTTTGAGCTTCAATCTGGACAATGGTGAATCTAGAGCAGATTATCCATCCCGAAACTTTACAAGCAACCCAAGCCAAACATCAGCAAACTGAAGGAACTTGTACAATGAATGCACCAAAAGCTTATCCAGCCCAAAAGTCAGCATTTTTACACAATGTCTTACCTCATTTTTTCCATCGTCGGTAAAAAGAAATATATGCAAAATCAAAACTTTAAACAATATGAAGATAAATAATTAAAATGGACTTGAAAGGCCCATAGGTCCTCTCTTTGGCACATGTCACACAGACAGGGTCTACTACAAAGAAATCGCCTCAGTAGAAAGGAATTTACCGAAAGCCGCCATGTCCGAAGGAAGTTTGAGGCCTCTCTTATGCAAAGCATTTCAGCATGGGCAGTGGAATCCCTCAATTCCTCTACCCTGAAACATGCACATTAATTAGATAATAAAGTTTAAAACAGAAACAGAGAAAACAGTCTTGAATCCTTATTCTGGGAATCACGAGTATACTTACAGGTTGTACCCACGAGCAATGATTTTTCCATTTTGCACCAGTACTGCACCAACTGGAACTTCCCAAGCATCAGCAGCTTTCATTGCTTCTGAAAGCGCTTCCCTCATAAAAATTTCATCAACTTTCCGTTGCTCACGTTCACGTCTATAAGCATCTTCCCATTCATCATACCTTTGCAAAACTACCTTGCTGCGTTGAAGCTTCTTTGTTTTTAGTTCATCAGTTCCCTCAGAAGCAATAACATCAGTTCCCTCAGAAGCAATAACATCAGTCTCGCTTGAAGGACTAATGGGTGCCTCATTATTCTCAGGTTCATCAATATCTTCAAAAGCATTTGATCTTCTCAACTGGCTGACAGATGATTTGGATAGATCCATAGAAGGGCTGGATAGTGACATAAGTCGGGGAACATTCAAGTTGATATTTTCACTAACAAAGGCATCTCCTGATAGTGAACTGCTCTGTACTACACTAGAAGAGGATGAAGCACCTGCATCAACTTTGCTCAATTTGTCATCCATGTTCACTACTATATCCTTCTTACTCTGACTCCTAGGGGTCTCCATCAATAATTGATCAGAAGTAGCCTCTTGCAGCAAGCCTAGCTGCTCTGCTTTAATGCCATCGTCATCGTCAACTGCGTCATCTGCCTCATTTCCAGAGAACCATGATTCGCCACCAGCAGATCCACTAGGTGAAGTCTTTCCTTCACCAGGAGACTTCTGTTTTTCTGAATGTGAACCCCATCGAAGTCTACATACATTCGCAACAGTGCTCCACAAAGACTTTCCTGTCCTAACAACAGCAACACTTCCAGAAGCTGGACTCTCTAACGATTCCATTTCTGAGGCTTCATGAACAAAGTGATCCTTCACATCCCACATCTGATCTGAGGATCCCTTGGTTTCAGAATCTGCAGATGAACGCTTTGAATCTAGCTTCTTTGCCTTTTTCTTCTTAGGATTAGGACTAGCAACCTGAGGTGGATGCTCTGAACCTTGCTTCTGTAAGTCTGTCTTATCAAAATCCGATTCATTTGATCCTTTCAGCATATACTTTTTATCTTGAAGCTTTAAATCTAGTTTTTCTAATTTGTTCTCAGTGCTAGTGTCAGAACTTGATGCTTCAAGTCTCATCTTCTCAGTAAATTCACCAACAATCTGAGTTGATGTTTCCTGCATACGTGCAGCTGAAATTAGCGCATCCCTATGATTATACTCCTCACCAGACATGCTCTTGCTACCATAGACTTCACCATAGGATGATGAAGTTCTTGATTGAGGATGTTTAAGTGAACTACCAGAACCAGCTTCCTCGGTCTTTCCCATATCATTTCTCACAGAGCTGCTTGATGCTTCTTGAAACTGGGAGCTGCTTACAGATTGGTATGGTGGAGATGTCATCACTAGCTTTCCACTTTTAGCTTCTTCCCCGCTAAATTGTTGAACAGCTGTCTGAGAAATTAAAGGTACTGAGGGTTGGCTTATAGTAGCTTCTCCAGAAAATTGTCCAGTGGCAGGGCCCTGCACCTCAGATCTAAGTGTAGATAGAACAATTGTTTCATCAATCCGCTTGCGTTTCTCCACTAATTCTTCTACTGATTTCACCTTTGATTTTAAAAAACTTTGCTCATTATATACTCTCCTATCAGAACAAGACTGACTATTGACCTCCAAATCGGAAGAATGAACTCCTGAATCCCCTCTCTCAGCATGAGGCACTATACTGGATTTAGGATTCTTAGTCACTTTACCATCTAATTCCTGACGCAACCTTTTCACTTCCTCAGCTGCAACAAGTGAGGCTGTCTTTTCCTCCAAAAGCTTCATTCGAATTTCTGATTGCTGCTGTGACTTCAAGGTATCTTGAGAATAACTAGCATCAGTATCCATGATACCACTGTAATGTTGGAGCTTTCTCCCTGCATCCACTAGACTAGTTCCCAAACAAATATCATCATGCTGCTTATTCTCCTCCTTATGGGAGGTTTGAAGTGAAATCGAACTCTTTTCCTCCTTCCTACGTCTACTCTCAGACTGGTTCTCTGTAGTAGTTTTTGACTTTTCCATCAAATTGCGTATCTGTGCTTCTGATTGTTGTGTTTCCCTTAAACTGCTTTCAGCATGTATAGCATCAGTAAAAATTATATCATGATAATGTTGGGATTTTCTCTCTGCGCTGGTTTGTCCAGTCACCACATGAATTTGGTCATGTTGCTTACTCTTTTCCTCAACTGAACTTTGGTGAGAACTTAAACTCATATCGTGCTTCCTTTGTCTGTTTTCACGCAAACTTTCTGCACTTGTGGTCAATTTAGCACTCATCCCAGTCGGCCCAGCATGCCCTTGGAAGTCTGATTGTGTCATTCTTTTGTCCATGTTTCTACCAGATGTTTTGCAATACTCACATCCTGTATCTTGAACTGAACCAACCATCTTCAAATCATCTTCCTGGCCAGATCTTCTCCATGTAGTAGAACTTGATTCAACATTTTCTCTATTTTTTTGAGTCAAATATTCATGGTGACTGCTAGATTTAGAGTGTCTACTAGATCGATTGTTGTTTTGATTATGGGAATTTGACTGCCCAAAAGATTTTACATCGGACGTAGACTGTTCTTGATAATTCAAATGCTTTTTCGAACTTGAGGCAATCATAGAACTGCTTTGTTGAGCCTGGGATAGCTTAGACTGCTCGAAATATCTAGAATCAGTTTCTTCGGAATCTGCAGTAAGCTTCTTCTCTGATTTCTTTCTCCAATCCCGCTGAATAGAGCCACCAACTTTGAAATCATCACGTTTACTACTTCGCAATTCCTGATCTTTCTCATCTCTATACCTCTCCCAGTCTTGCTTGGTAGCTTCACTAATTACAACGCCCCCACTTTTCCTAGAATCCTTCTTCTGACTGGTCAACAACTCTCCGACAAACTGATCTTGCTGTATCTCAACTTCCACATCACTCCCAAAGTCCCCTGAATCTGAAAGAGAATAATAGGATGAACTAGATTCTCTTCTCCTCAACCTTCCATCCTCATCTATAGAGCTACTCTCCCTTTCTTCATCCCTCTTATTACCCTCAAACCTAGCCTGAACCCTACCCCCCGACTCCAGTCTATAATTCTTCCAATCACCCTCCCTATACACAGAATCCACATTTGGCTTTCTATCCTTTAACCTCTCATTTACAACATTCGGCTGTCTATCCTTTAACTTCTCAATCACAACATTCGGCTTTCTATCCTTAAACCTCTCAATATTCGGCTTACTCACAGCTTTCCCTTCCCGAGGAGAGCTCCTTTTTTTCTCCCTAACAACCCCACATTCCTCAACAACCTCCTCACTCAACAAACTAAGCATAGCCTCAACATCTCCAAGTGCATTACTTCTAAAATCGCGCTTAGGCATACCTATCCTACCCCTAATCTTATCAACATCAATACCCCTCTTCTCTTTAACACAACATTCCTCATTACAACTTTTCCTACCAAGCCCAACCACTCTCTCCTGCTTAACACACCTAGATTCCAAGCAACAACATCGCCCCACATCGTAAATAGAAGACCGACAACAATACCGATCACTAGAACCCAATATAAACCTCCTAGAAGGAGGGCATTGAATCAAGGTGGACTGCCTTAACCCATATAATATGCTAGGGTTTGTGGGTACAACTAATTTACAAGAATTAACAGGAAATGAACAACAAGAACAACAAATTGATGGGCATTTTTCAATTGAACAAAAAGAGTAATCATTAAAAGCAGAATAAGTTCTTAGTGATATAATTGAGCTACTACTGTACGTTGTATACATCATAAAAAGCAATTCTTGAAGCTGAAATAAAAAGAGGAGAGAGAAAGGGAGATGGGAATTTCTTACCTTGAGAGGAGAGAGAAAGGAAGGAAGTGTTTTAATGGAGGATTTGAGATGGAAGTCATGTGGATGTGTCGAAGAGATGAGATTTTGAAGGTTAGAGACGATGATGATGATGACGATGATTTCACTGCATTTTACTTTTTGATGTTGATTAAATGTTTTTTTTTATTTTTATTTTTTAAACGGGCACTTGGCACTAAACGGACAAAATAATTCCATGGTTCAGCGATTTGGTATACAATTAGCAAAGCAGTTGGGGATACATGAACCTTGAGCTCGAATGCGATGCCTCCAATGTGGTGAGCAACATAAACAACGAGGATACTCCACTCTCATGCTCCTTTATGAAGACATCTATACTAATCTATTAAAAGGCATTTATAAAAATATTCATGTTCTACATAGATCCTTGTATAATACGCCACGTCACTTCACAAATACTTCATGATGCCACATCACCTACCCAACCAATTATTTCAAAGCTGGCTTATGAACCATCTTAGCTAGGGGTGTTCAAATCCGGGTACCCGAAAACCCGGGTACCCGGAGTTTCGGGTACTTGTAAATTTGTCCCATGTCCCGACCTGAATATTTCGGGTACCCGGGTTCCGGGTACCCGAATTATTCGGGTCGGGACATAGGGTACCCGGAATTTTGAATGATTGTAAATAATTTGCTCCCAAAAGGTAAAAAATTGAAAAACAATTTAGATCTACTACCCAAACTCCACACAATTGAACAACCAAGATACAAAATAACTTTATACAAAGCTTTGTTTCAATAATAATAATAAAATTTGAAATATACAAAGAAATTAGAATAGAAAAAATATAATTAGAAATTACAATTAATTTGCTCCCAAGGTACTGTTGACTGTTGCAACATAGAACAAAGCGACCACCGTGTTGGGCGAAGTAGCACGCAGCAACCACCTACTCGAGCAGCACCGAGTCTCAGACGAAGGTGGGCAAAGCAGATCGAGGCTCAAGGAAGAAGAAGGCGGTTGAGAAGAGGTTTTGAGAGTTTGAGAATAGAGATGTTGGAAGAACTGAAGAGTGAAGAAGCAATGGAAGTAGGAAGAATAGAGAAGGAATTCAAGGAAGAAGAAGGAAGCAAGAGAGAGAGGCAGGAAGAGAGAGAACGGCAGAGCTTAAGCTTCTGGAAACCTAAGTTTGTTTCAAAACAAAAGGGTATGTGGGCTGGGCTGTAGCCTTAGAATTTTTTTTTTAAAAAAAAAATTAATTTATTATTATCGGGTATTCGAGTACCCGATAATGAAGAATTCCGCCCCGTGTCCCGACCCGGATAGAAGGGAATTTAACCGGGTCGGGTACCCGTCCCGAAAAAATAGATTTTTCTCCTAAATTTTCCGTCTGGTATTTACTGGGTCATCGGAAAATCGGGTCGGGTTTTTTTGAACACCCTATTCTTAGCCCATTATCAAGAGTGTTATAAACATTATAAAAGATTATACATAAGTGTAAATCACATGATTTAATTATTTTTTTTTTTAAAAATCAATAAATCAATAATATCGATTTCATATTTCAAAATCTTACAAAAAATGTCTCAATTGCACGAATATAAAAGTAGCGATTCGGGGCAACGCTCGGGCTACTCACTAGTTAGGAAGTTAAAAGTTGACTATTCTTCTTTTAAGTGTAGTTATGTCGGTAGACCGGGTAATACTTTAGCACACCTTGTGGCTAGATATATTGTTAATGAAACAACGTATGTTTGGTTTGATAATTTCCCCCAAAGTTTTTTAACTTTGGCGGAAATTGACTTGATTTAATAAATTGCCCGACTAATCGAGTTGGAAAGCAAAAAATCTATGATTATAAGCACAATAAACTCTCATTTTTGAAAGGTTAAAAATAGTGTAAAAGCTTTATTAATTCCCTCTTTCATTTTAAAGTAATTTTTTGATGTCTAGAACTTATGTTAGATAATAACATGTACAATAAAAATTAGGAAAATTTGTCAAAAATAATACAAATTTTGAGCGGTCCGCCAAAAACAAGTCAAACTTTTGGTTATTTCTAAATAATACAAACTTTAGGGATTGTTCGCTTTAAACAAGTAATTTGACTTGCAATCTGAATGACCGGTTAATTTTTTTTTTTTTTTTAAAAAAGGGAAATTCTACATGGTGGCCCTCAACTTCCGTAATTTCTATTTGGTGGAAAAATAAAATCAACTTAGTCTCTAATGGACCCCAACTTTTGTTAAACTCTAAATAGTGGCCTAATCTCATTTAAAACAGGTTAATAAGTGGATTATGGCTATCTTTTTAACCTTATTTGCTGCAATTACTAACTTACCCCTATTTTAACACTTCTCTCCTAAATCATTAATGTTGACTTAAACACTCACCCCCAATTCAACCATTACGCAAATGATCAGAGCAACAACTGTTCATCTTCTCTTTCAAATTTGCGATTTTAATATGTTAATAAAAACAAAACTTTTGATGAAATTAATCAATTTGTGGAGATTATTTGGCGTTATTTTGTAATTGCGCACAAATTCCATCTAACATAGTCAATTTGTGGGAGTATTTTTCGATCGATTTTTAGGGTTAATTTTTGGGAATTGCCATAAAAATTGGTATTCGCGACTGAAGATCAATTGTTAGGGGCAGCTTTGAGGTTAAGTTCTAAACTTTGAACCTTATGTTAGTAATTGTAGCCATATATGCTTATTAGGTCGACTTAGTACTCTGTTTTTGTATGCATCATTTATGTACTGGTTTTATTTGGTTTTTTGCATTGTATTGCTATTGTTCTATTTTGTAATTTTGGAGACGATTTGCATATCTAAAATGACTTGGATTTGTATGTTTTATTTGTTAGTGCAGAATGGATCCAATTGTAACACCCCGACCTCTAATTCAATTATTAAGATAATCTTAGCAGCGAAATTAACCTAACACGGTCGGGACGTCACTGCCGTAAATCCCTCACGAGATTTACAAGGCAACAACATACTTAATTAACAAACTTGATTTATAAAACATAGTAATCTATTTATAAAAAACATTATTCTTAATTTTTATAATAGAAAATCCTATCTTATCTCAAACTTTACTAAGTAGCTTAGTCTTACTATTCAAATTAAACAAATTAAAACTATAACTACTATTAAGTGATAACTGAAAGTAAAATCCTCGCTACTACTCGTCTCCATCATCCCCAGCAGTACCTAAAACATAAAAACATAAAAACGGGTGAGCCGAAAACTCAGTAACGAACTACTCTAGTAGTGTAACATCATTTCAATTCATTTTAGTTAACAAAACAGGGAGAATAGAGTATCTTAAAACATTTAATAAAATTCATATAATGATATATATATAACGTTCATATTAACATGCTAGTCGCTGGCAAGTATGACATGGCGGAACGTCTTCCGCGATGGGCCGGTGCCCATAACATAGAGCAGATGCTCGACATAGTTGGGATAATGCCCCATGGGTACATGCATGACCGAAAAGTAACCTGTAAACATATACTGCCAGACGGACTAGGTTTTTCACTGTTATTTATCATGTTGTGTAACTTTTACATAAGTCATTCATAGATTCATGACATACTTTCGTAAGATCCAAAGATCAATAAAACAACGTTTATCAATAAAATCATTCATATAAATCATTAGACTGGAGTACATTAATAAACACATTCATCATCCCGCAAGTCAATAAATCCAGAGATATAATTAACTTTCAAAATTGACATCATGCTTTTATAAACACATTTTGAAGGGAATTGCGGGTACTAGCAATAGCCGTTACCTCGATTTACAGTCTGATAACCTTCCTGTTAGCCTTTATTCTATCGTTCTCACTGAGCTCCGAGGTCCGATTCTTCTTGAAAATATAAATTATTGCATTAGTAGGAAAAATGATTAAAACTATACTCTTTAATTATTTTAGTATAAAATCAACAAACTTATTTCTAAATACAAGTAATACCATACGTAGCTTTATGACTCAAAGAAGTCATAGTTTTTCCACTAAATCATTAACTTAAGTATAAGAATTATTTTTGTATTACAAGAAAAACAATACTAGATAACAAGATTTCTCTTTAAAGAATAAATATGAACATTGAAACAATACTACTTATACCTTGGGCTAATTAGTAGTATACGAAGCAATAAGGTAATGGGTCTTAGAAGGCCATTTTCATTAGTTTGACAAGAAAGTTTACGAAAGGAGAAAAGAAAGTATATAATGAGTTAATGACACTAGTGAACGGTGGTGACGTTATATATATATATATATAGAGTAATATGGTTGCTAGAATGAACTTGAAAGAAAGAAGAAGATAAGATCAAGATTTGCTAAATTGATAATCATGGGGTTTTGAGTGACCAATTATATGGAAAGGCAAAATTAGACTTTGTATTATAAAGCTCTTAACCGTGAGGGGAATAGAGAAGCAAGAGGTGGGTTTTGTTTTCTAGTTGAATGAAGCAAAGTTTATCCTTTGCACTTTTGTTTCTTAACGGTGAAGGATCAATAGCTTACAAGAAAAGATTATAAAAGTTTATTAAGTGATAAGATTATCACAAGAATTAGGCAACTAATGGTAAAGGAAACAGTGAGAAATGAAATTATCAATTCTTTTCTTAGTGGTGAAAAAGGGATGAAGTTAGGAGGTGGATTTTGTCTCTTATGATAAGTAAGGGCATTTTGGTCATTTTTTTTCGGGTAAAAATACATATTTTGATACAAATCTTTAAACATTTTACTGACCGGAAATAAGCTGTAAAATAATAATTTACTTTCCTTAAAATTAGCTTCTGAAACAATATAATATTAAAATAAAATTCAAGATTAAAACATTCGTTCTTGTTAAAACAGAGACAAAACTTTAATTAAGCTAATAAAATAAATATTAGCGTATAATAAATCAGGTTATAAAATATCGAGTATTACACCAATTGTGTTAAAGTTTCAGAGTGCTGAACATGTGGTTGATGTTGCAATTGATGATGTAGACAAAGTTATGTGGATTGACTTAATTATAGAGTATGAAGAATTGTTTAGGAAGAACCGTTACATGATGCCTAAACACCCTACTTTTATTTACTGCTATAATAAGAAACATATCCCTATAATGAGTGATAGTGTTTTAATGTCAATGTTAGAAAGGTTAGGAAGCAAAAAGGTGATCATAGTTTATGTGGGATCAGGGAGTGAACCTTCTGATTGTGTTGTAGCTGCTAGGAATCTGACAGAAAGTTTGAAGAAAAATACACACATACATTTTGGAGTTGAACCACCTAAGTCTAACAACAAAGAAATAGATGATATGACTAGTCAAAATGATGAAGAGTGGACTGAAATAAATGATATTTTGTTAGATATGCATGATGTTATATTAGATAACTTGGCAAGAGTAGATGATGAAGAAGAACAAGGAAGGAGTCAGTTAAGGAAGAATAAAGGTAAAGGGGGGGCTAGTGTGTCAAAACCTAGGGCTAAGAGGTTGACAGTTACGAGAAAACTCCCACCAAATGAACCAGTAACCCTTACTGCCACAACTACCTTCTCAAATGCTCCTGTAGTTGACACACCAAACCTGTATACAACATCTTCTCACAATAATTCATTACTTCTTCATAAGATTCCTAAGAGTACAGCTGCCAGGAGAGGTTTGCTTAATACTTCTCATCAAATTGAAGCACAAGTGATAACTGAAAAGGAATTTAATGTGGGGGTTCATCATATGTTGGGAAGAATTTTTGAGCATGGAGAAAGTAGCATGCAAGTTTCTGCAGGTAATGAAGGTCCTGGTGGTGTTAGGAATGAAATTCATGATGTGTTAGAAAGGGAACATGGTAGTGATGAAGTTCTGTTAGTTGAAACGAATACTACAAGAGGGGGGGGTGAATTGTAGTTAAGTTCCTAATGACTACTTTTGCAAATTTAAAACAGAATATAAAAGGAACTTGATAGTGCACACACAGTTTTACGAGGAAACGTTCTAGGGCCCAACTGGAAGTAAAACCTCGACCCTTCTAAGGGATTTCAAACACACAAACAATCCACTATAATAGGGCAATGAAGAAATTACAAACCTATTATAATCCAGACCTTTAAACACAAGTTCCAACTAGAACTTGTAGCACAGTAAGACTCAATCCTACCCAATTCAAATCCCCTGACTTGAATTCACTCATACTCTCACAGTACCAATGCACTCTTTTTACAAAATAACTTCTACTGTATGTGATAATAAATCTCATACACTCTCACCCAAATACCCAATCAATTACAGTAAATAATATGTCTAGAATATGTTAGGCAAGCTATGCATAAAACCCGAAACTAATATGACAAGATAAAGCTTGGCAAACTTACACTTTGATAAAGCTCACAAGATTTTCTTCACGCATAAACTTACAAAAATCGAAAGCAGTTTTACCTCTACTATTTATACAAGTATAACTTGTATAGAAAGTAGGTTTTCAAAAGATAAAGATGTTAACTTTCCTTATCTCTAAATACGATTTTTGGTAAATCATTTTATTAAAGAAAAATCCTTTCCGAAAAATACAAGAAGATATATATTAGAGAATAATATCGTTTTGCAACTGATTTTAGGAAAATAAATTAAAACAAAATCTTTTTTCAAAATCTATCTTTTTATATTTTTCCAATTTTATCTTTTTGCTAAATTATCTTGTCACGTCTCTAATAGATTTCATGCATATCTTATTAACATATTTAACAATAAATCTAGAAGATAAAATCTTAACTAAATTAATATCTCAATGCCGCGCTTCTGTAATTCTGAATATCTTGGGCTTCACGCAGGCCAAGAACAAGTTCCTGCTGTCACTTGGTCTCCAGTTCACAACCGGAACTTCGCAGCCTAAGTTCCTTGTGGAACATACTGTCTTCAGCTTACAACCTTCAAGTTCCTGTTAGGGAACATTCCTGTTAAGGAATTTAGTTCTTGTTAGAGAACTCTTCTTCTATTGATTAACTCTTTAAAGATTCTTCAAGTCTTCATAATAAAGATGTTCTTCCTTCACTAAGGTCCATTTCTCCTGTACTTGAACACTTTTAAACCTTTAGTTGAGTTTGCTTTAGTTTAAGTTCATCATCATCAAAACTTATAAGCTTCAACAATTTCCCCCTTTTTGATGATGACAAACTTAAGCAAACTCTTGACAAAAGTTAAAACACATAGAAGGACGTATTTTTTGTATTTTTGATTTTTTGACAGAAAGTAAACACACAGAAACAAGAAACAGAAATAAAATGAGGAAAATAAAACACACAAAACAAAGAAAAACAGAACATGAAATAACTAAGCTACCAAAACAGAGAAGTTTTGATATTTTCTCAACTGGAACCCAGAACGACTGAAACCTTCAAGTTTGCTTCCTCCTTTCCCCCTTTTGGCATCATCAAAAAGTCCTGCTTTTTCAAGATTATTAAATTTCTAACAACAGCCCCACAAGAAATTCATCGAGTGCGGGAAACTTAAGGCAGCGCTGCTAACTTACTTCCAATAAGTTCAACTTTTCTACATAAACTTTCACAATATAACACACACATGGTTGCACCAAGTTCCAAAATGCTTCATTAAAGTCAAAAGAAACTTCCTGCTTAGTTTTCCAAAATATTACAATATTAAAAAAAACAGTTCTAAAACAGAAATTGAAATGTGACAAGTTCATGACTGAATTAATAAAACATAGAGAAACAAAAGTGAGGCTAGGAATAGGCTAGACAAAATGGGATGGATGAGGCTGGTCTTGTTTAAGTTTCAAGGAGTTCAAGGATCTTCTTGTTGTCTTCAACATTTTGCTGCACATACTCCTCCAATTTATCTTGAAGACTCTTAAGGTCCTTCTGGAACTCCAACTTCTATAGTTTGAGACTACTTTCAAGACCTTGGACCTTCTTCTCAAGATCTTGTATCTGCTCTATGGCTGTCTTCAACTGCTTTTCTGCAATGTTAGCTCTGTCCACCAGTTCAGCCACTTGCCCTGAAATGACTTTGTCCTCATCCTCATCTATCTCAAGTGGTTTCTCCAAGCCAGTTTGAGGAGCCTTACCAGCTGAGATCCTCCTACTCTTCCTCACAGCTTTTTATGGAACTTTCTTCCCTTTTCTTTTTCCTCCCACTGCTTTCTTTACTTCACTTTTTCTGACCTTTCCATTTACTACTTCAAGGTTTATACCTTGAAGTGTTTCCCCATTAATCACATCCTTTGGATTTTCCTCCAATCCCTCATAAACTCCTTTGAGCTTCACACTTAGAAATTCAAACACAGTAGACAACAATGCACCATATCCCACTTTGTTCTTTCGTGGAATACAGTGTGCTAGGTGTTGGTACATTAAGGATGGAAAGTTGATTTTTATTTTCTTGGAGAGACAGAAGATGACAGCCAAGTCCATCAAGCATGCTTGGCTTCTCTTCTGAGTTCTGGGCAATATGGTTTTCCTCACCAAATTGAACAACAACTTATTGAGAGGGCTAAGATCATTATGGCTCATAACATTCTTCCCCCTTTTTCCTTCCAAAAATTCAACTATATCTCCACTGAGATAATTTCCTACCTTCACAGTATTCTTCCCCTTCACATATAATTCAAATCCAGCAGTAGGTACTTTCAAAATTTTACCTAGTTTCTCAACATCAAACTCAATTTTCTTTTTATTTACTAAGCTAAAAATCTTCCCTTGTTTAACTTGAAATTTTTCACAAAATTCATCCATAGCCACAGGATATAGCACATTATTAGAAGCAGTAGATAACATATACTCCCACCCTTGAAATTTGATTAAATCGAAGAATTCTAAAAACCTAGCCTTCTTACACCATGTACTATCAAGTCTATGACCAGTAACATACCTTCCCGCGCTTGCAAGAAGTTCCACTTGGTTATCATCTTCATCAACCTCTTCTTCCTCTTCCTCTACAGAGGCATCTGCTTCACTTTCTCCCGGATTCTCTTCTTCTTCCTGATTTTCCTCTTCGCCTAGATTTTCCCCCTTTTCGAACTCATCAACTTCCTCAATTTCCTTTTCAAGTGACTTTTCTTTCTCTCTTTTCTATTTCCATTGACGCAATTTATCGAGTGCACTTGAGGTATTGTACTCTTCTTCAACATTCTTGCTCTCAACTTCCTTAGGGTTTGAGGGTAAAGGCTTCGGGTTTTCAGAGGGTTTGGGAGAATTAGAGGTACTTTCGGTTGATTTTGGAGAAGGTTTATGATTCACCATTGCTAAAGGTGAAGTTTCTTCTTGAATGGTGTGTTCGGTGTTTTGGGAATTTTCAGAAGAAACGATTTTTGCAATAATAACCATGGTGTTTGATTGTGATTTTGTTCTTGAGTTTTTACTGAAGAGGGTGAATGCGATTTGACAGTGGAGTGAAAAGGTGGGTGAAAGATGCTTTTTATATTTATTGAAGCGGTGCAAGGGAATTGAATGGTTTTACTGTTTAGTCATTAATTGAAACACATTCAATTAATTTGTAAAATCATTTGGCAGGATGTATTTTCAAAATTCACTTTCTTTCCAAATTCATTTAATTTCACAAATCATAATTTCTTTCTAAATATACACATATTGGAACACGGTTTAAACACATATGCACAGTATTTTATTAATTGCTTACATAAATAAGTATTTTAGTGAACTTACCTTTAGTAATTAACAACGGTGACACTTCAGCTATATTTGTCACACCAAAGTTGCGCCAAAAGCTCTTTAAACTTTATTTACACTATTTTTGAATCAACCATATCTTGGAACTTCAGAAGCAATCAAGTTAGCTTGATCATCCCAAGTTCCAATCTCAATTTCTCAAATCTTTCTCTGTTCAAGGGTTTGGTTAGAATATTAGCAATTTGACTTTCTGTTTGACAAAATTCTAACTTAATATTCCCTTGTTCCACATTGTCTTTTAAAAAGTGATGCCTAATGTGGATATGCTTTACCTTTGAGTGTTGAACTGGATCTTTAGAAATACAAATAGCACTAGTATTGTCATAGTAAATAGGGACACATTCAAAAATAATACCAAAATCTCTAACCTGTTGTTTTATCCATAGAACTTGTGAACAACATGTTGCTGCTGCCACATACTCAGCTTCAGCTGTGGACAATGCAACAGTATTTTGCTTCTTGGAGCCCCAAGAAACCAGACAAGGTCCTAAGAACTGAACCATACCTGAAGTACTTTTTCTGTTAACCAAGTCACCTGCATAGTCAGCATCAGTAAAGCTATTTAATTCAAATGAGTCACTTCTAGGATAGAAGAGACTCAAGTCATCAGTTCCTTTTAAGTAACGAAGAGTTCTCTTTACTGCTACGGGGTGAGATTCCTTTGGATTTGCTTGAAACCTGGCACATAGACCTACACTAAAAGATATGTCAGGTCTACTTGCTATCAAATAGAGTAAAGAGCCAATCATACCTCTATACATAGTTTGGTCTATACAAGTTCCAGGTGGATCTTCATCCAATCTAGTTCCAATACCCATAGGAGTCTTATTGGTTTTTGCATTTTCCATCTTGTATTTCTTGATCAGTTCCTTGTTATATTTTTGTTGATGATCATGATTCCTTCTTCAGTTTGCTTGATTTGCAATCCAAGAAAGAAGTTTAACTCTCCCATCATACTCATTTCGAATTCTCCACTCATTAGTTCAGCAAAATACTTACACAGAGATTCATTAGTTGCACAGAATAAAATATCATCAACATAAATTTGTATAACTAATATGTCATGTCAGTTCCATTTGATTTTAAAAACAATGCTTTATCAATTTTTCCACGTTTAAAACCATTTTTCAATAGGAACTTTGACAGCCTTTCATACCATGCTCTAGGAGCTTGCTTCAGCCCATAAAGAGCTTTGTCAAGCTTGTAGACATGGTTTGGGAATTCTGGATTTTCAAATCCAGGAGGCTGTTCCACATAGACTTCTTCATCAAGATATCCATTCAAAAATGCACATTTAACGTCCATTTGGTACAGCCTAAATCCCATATAAGCAGCAAATGCAATAAGTAGGCGTATAGCTTCTAACCTGGCTACAGGAGCAAATGTTTCTTCATAGTCAATACCTTCTTGTTGATTGAAACCTTGTACTACGAGCCTAGCTTTGTTCCTGACAATAATACCATGCTCATCTAGCTTGTTCCTAAACACCCATTTTAAACCAATTTTCTTCTTTTTCTTAGGTCTAGGTTCTAGATGCCATACTTTGTTTCTTTCAAACTCGTTAAGTTCGTCTTGCATAGCATTGATCCAGTCTGCATCAGTCAAAGATTCAACATGGTTCTTAGGTTCCATTGAAGATAGGAACGCATAAAATGCACAGAAGTTCCTAAGCTGAGATCTGGTTTGAGTTCCTTTTGTGATATCACTCATGATTGCATCAACTGGATGAGACTTCTGATGTTTCCAAGGCTTTGGAGTGAAGTCTTTAATTGGATACAATCTTTCTTCATTGTTGGTGACTGGTTCAACTGTTGGAACCTCATCTTGATTTTCAGTTTGAACTTCTTCTGGAACTTCTTGATCAGCTTCGTTCTGTTCTGGAACTTGAGGAGTTCCTGTTGCATTCTCTAATGTAGGATCTTCATTTGCTTCTGTATTTGCCTCATTTTCTTCCAGCTGCTTTTGTAATGATGTTGACTCTTCATCTTGATCCACCTTGCGAACAAGTCCTATTTCAAAGTCATCATCACTTTCCTGTACATCAATCAATTGTTCAGTTTCATCAAATATAATATGTACAGATTCCTCAACACACATTGTTCTCTTATTATAAACCCTATAAGCTTTACTTTTTGAGGCATATCCTAAGAAAACAGCTTCATCACTTCTCTCATCAAACTTTCCTAAGTTTCTTTTACCATTATTATGAACAAAGCATTTACAACTAAAAGATCAGAGGTGAGAGATGTTAGGTTTTCTCCCTTTGATTAGCTCATAGGGAGTTTTGTTGGTGATGGCTCTAACAGAAACTCTGTTGAGAATATAGCATGTTGTATTAATTGCTTCTGCCCAGAAGTTTCTTGGCAAACCACTTGAGATTAGCATTGTTCTAGCCATGTCTTCAAGACTTCTATTCTTGCGTTCCACCACTCCATTTTGTTGTGGTGTTCTTGGTGCCGAGAAGTTGTGATCCATACCATGCTCAGTACAGAATTCATCAAATTTAGAATTTTCAAATTCTGTGCCATGATCTGACCTAAGGTGAATCAGTGGACTACCTGTTCTTCTCTGTTTTTTCTTTACAAAGGCTACAAATTCATCAAATGTTTCATCTTTGCTAACAAGAAAGAAAACCCAAGTAAATCTTGAAAAATCATCAACAATTACCATTACATATCTCTTAACACTTCTACTTTGGATTCTCATAGGACCACATAGATCCATATGAACAAGTTCCAAAGGTCTTTTGGTGCTTACTATTTTCTTGGATTTAAAGGAACTTCGAGTCTGTTTTCCTCTAACACAAGCATCACACACTTTGTCATATAGGAACTTGATGCAATGGAGACCTTCCACAAGTTCCTTAGCTCTAAGCTTATCAAGTAATGTAAAGCTTGCATGACCAAATCTTTTATGCCATAATGAGGATCATTCTCAATAACACTGAGACATGTTAGATTTCTTTTAGGAACTTCGTTAAGATCCACAACATATGTGTTCCCTTTACGAGTTCCTTCTAAAATAATGTTCCCAGTGTCATTATGAATGATTCTACATTTGTTTGAAGTAAAACTTACTGAGTTTCCTTTGTCATAAAATTGTGAAATGCTCAACAAGTTGTGTTTGAGACCCTCGACCAAAAATACATTATCAATAGCATGGGAACTTGAACTTCCTACTTTGCCAATGGCAATTATATCTCCTTTCATATTGTCACCAAAGGTCACAGTTCCTCCATAATAGGCATCCAGTGAGAGAAATCTAGATTTGTCTCCAGTCATGTGTTTCGAACAACCACTGTCGAGGTACCAAGTGTTGTTCCCCCTCACTGGAACCTCAGCTTTAAGTTCCTTCTTCAACTTAGCCTTTTCATCTGTTTTTTCCATTAGGCACAGATGGGTTGTTTCTTCAAGAGGTTGATCTTCTTTTTCTTCTGTATCAGTATCTCCCCAGGCGGCTAGCATTGCTTTCTTCACGTTGTCTTTGTTGAAGTAAGGCTTATACACTCTAGATTCCTTAGATTGCTCCTTAGGTTTGTTCTTACTGTCCTTGAGTGGAAAATCCTTAATGAAGTGATCTTTTGCTCCACATTTGAAACAAGTAGTGTCTCTAGAACCAGTGGGCTTCTTGTTTCTGTCAAACCTTCTATTATTCATCATCTTTTTGAATCATTGACTAGCATAACCATCTCCTCTTCATCAACTTCAGATTCCTCTGAGTCTAGAGCCTTTAGAGCAAGACTCTTGTTTTTGGAACTTTCGTTATTGAAACTCAGATGTAATTCATGAGTCATAAGTGATCCAGCTAGTTGTTCCATACTAAACTTGGTGAAGTCCTTAGCTTCCTGCATGGCAGTAACTTTGGATCTCCAACGTTCATCCTTTGGAAGACTCCTCAAAATCTTTCTAGCCTGTTCATTAATAGGAATATGCCTTCTAAGAGAGTTTAGTTCATTAATTATGTCATTAAATCTAGTGAACATTTCTTCTATAGTTTCTTTAGACTGCATTTCAAACCTTTCATATCTAGACATCAGTAAATTAATTTTAGAACGTTTTACCTCGTTTGTTCCTTCATGAGTGACCTCGAGTAGATCCCAAATCTGTTTAGCAGTCTTGCGCCCCATGATACGATTATGCTCATGAGGTCCAAGACCACAATGTAAATACTTTATTGCTAAAGCATTCATTTCGAGTTTCTGATAGTCTTCTTTGTCATAATCAGAAATAAGTTTAGGAACTACCTCATTTTTATCATTTGTTGCGTTTACCTCATAGTCACCAGCTTCAATAACACGCCAAACTTGGTAATTCTCAGCCTTAATGAAAATCTCCATTTTGTTCTTCCAGTAGGTATAAAACTTACCGTTAAACATAGGTGGGCGTTGGGTTGAGTACCCTTCTTCAAGTTTTTCCTTGTAGTTCATTTCTCCTCAAGATCTTACTCAGCAAAATTATCTTCTTACACGTGAGAACCTCGCTCTGATACCAATTGTTAGTTGAAACGAATACTACAATAGGGGGGGTGAATTGTAGTTAAGTTCCTAATGACTACTTTTGCAAATTTAAAACAGAATATAAAAGGAACTTGATAGTGCACACACAGTTTTACGAGGAAACCTTCCAGGGCCCAACTGGAAGTAAAACCTCGACCCTTCTAAGGGATTTCAAACACACAAACAATCCACTATAATAGGGCAATGAAGAAATTACAAACCTATTATAATCCAGACCTTTAAACACAAGTTCCAACTAGAACTTGTAGCACAGTAAGACTCAATCCTACCCAATTCAAATCCCCTGACTTGAATTCACTCGTACTCTCACAGTACCAATGCACTCTTTTTACAAAATAACTTCTAATGTATGTGATAATAAATCTCATACACTCTCACCCAAATACCCAATCAATTACAGTAAATAATATGTCTAGAATATGTTAGGCAAGCTATGCATAAAACCCGAAACTAATATGACAAGATAAAGCTTGGCAAACTTACACTTTGATAAAGCTCACAAGATTTTCTTCACGCATAAACTTACAAAAATCGAAAGCAGTTTTACCTCTACTATTTATACAAGTATAACTTGTATAGAAAGTAGGTTTTCAAAAGATAAAGATGTTAACTTTCCTTATCTCTAAATATGATTTTTGGTAAATCATTTTATTAAAGAAAAATCCTTTCCAAAAAATACAAGAAGATATATATTAGAGAATAATATCGTTTTGCAACTGATTTTAGGAAAATAAATTAAAACAAAATCTTTTTTCAAAATCTATCTTTTTATATTTTTCCAATTTTATCTTTTTGCTAAATTATCTTGTCACGTCTCTAATAGATTTCATGCATATCTTATTAACATATTTAACAATAAATCTAGAAGATAAAATCTTAACTAAATTAATATCTCAATGCCGCGCTTCTGTAATTCTGAATATCTTGGGCTTCACGCAGGCCAAGAACAAGTTCCTGCTGTCACTTGGTCTCCAGTTCACAACCGGAACTTCGTAGCCTAAGTTCCTTGTGGAACGTACTGTCTTCAGCTTACAACCTTCAAGTTCCTGTTAGGGAACATTCCTGTTAAGGAATTTAGTTCTTGTTAGAGAACTCTTCTTCTATTGATTAACTCTTTAAAGATTCTTCAAGTCTTCATAATAAAGATGTTCTTCCTTCACTAAGGTCCATTTCTCCTGTACTTAAACACTTTTAAACCTTTAGTTGAGTTTGCTTTAGTTTAAGTTCATCATCATCAAAACTTATAAGCTTCAACAAGTTCATGATGTGTTAGAAAGGGAACATGGTAGTGATGAAGGAGATGGTTGGTTTGGGGAGATTAATGACAATTATGATCCTTATCTGTCTGACAAGTGGGAGAGTGAATAGTTGATGATGACAATTATTTCAGCAAAATGTATAAGAATGGGGAATTTGTTGATGCTGTAGAATTTGGAAGCATTGTGTTGAAACCATGGATGATCTTTACTGACAAATCACACTTTATTTCTGTACTTAGAGATTACTATATCCAATGTGGTTTTGCTTTAGTAGTAGATAGATCAAGTCCAACCAGGTTTACTGCTCAATGCTTAGCGTTGAATTGTAACTGGAGGATTCATTCAAGTGTACTCCCTGATGGCACTACATGGGCTATTAAGAGTATACAAAACTCTGAGCACACTTGCAGGGTTTAGATGAGATAAATCCATTGGTGAATGTAAAGTAGGCAGCAAGTAAGCTAATGGAAGATATAAGGGCTAACAATGACATCACTGGAAAAACATTGAATGATTTACTATGGAGCAGGTATGGGGTTCAAATGGCTACAAGTAAACATGGGCAACGTGTCGTGCCATACCGCCGCAGGCCGTGCCTTGCCGTGCCGCGGTGGGGGCCGTGCCGGCTCCGCGGTGGGCCGTGCCGTGCCTGAAATTGGCACACCCCAGCTCACGGCACGACACGGCCCACCTGCCTTGAGGGCCGTGTCGTGCCGGGCCGCGGGCCAAACCGTGCCACCCTTTTTAAATTTTTTTTTTAATAAATGAAAAAAAAACGAATTAAACGATATATATATATATATATATATTTTTAGTACAACTTAATATATGTGATTAATTTATGTAAATGTTAATGTTAATATATTTTGTTTTCATTTTTTGAACAACTTTATTTTAATTTAGGTTATATAAATTATTTATCTAATTAATAATTATGTTTAAGTTTATATAATCAAATAAAAACAATTTTATTAATTTAGCAAAAAACAACAATGCATATAATAAAAAAAATACGAGTGCGATAATCCGAAAACACAAAAAATTGAAGAATAACTTATTTTATTATATGACGGTAGCCGATACGAATGTACGATAATTCAATAATACAAAATAAGTAATGATAATTAAAAATCGTACAATAGTGTATGAATATTGAATAACTTCATTTATTATACGAAGTTCGATAATACAAAAAGTATACAATAGTGTATAATGTAAATATGTAATCATGTAATTATTATTGGTCGTCTTTGTCTTCGCCTTCGTCTTCATCTTCGTCTTCGTCTTCGTCTCCTAGAGGTTCAAGTTCATCCGCCAATTGAGTTGATTAAGAAGTATGAGTACTAAAAGAAGTCGACGTTCCTTCATCGTCGTCGTCGTTTTGTGCATAAGTACGATCTTGAGAACGAGTTTCGGCATCCAACCAATCCTTGAAGCAAACACACATTTCAAGTGTTTCAGGTTTTAGTCTTGTTCTTCTATCGTCTAAAACTCGTCCCGACGCACTAAAAGCTCTTTCGGAGGCAACGGAGGAGACTTGGATAGCAAAAATATCACAAGCCATTGCCGACAAAATTGGATGTTTCACGGTTTGTGATTTCCACCAATCAAGAATGTCGAGGCCAAACTTCTCTTCATCGTCCATGCCTTTCATGAAGTCGTAACTTAAGTACATTTGCAACTCCGAAACATCGCTTTGTGTTCTCTTACTTGATGATGATTCCGTACCTGAAAACTTGGACATCATGTTAGCAGCTTGTGCAAATAAACCTTTGGCCCGTTTACTTACATTTTTGGATGTTTGAGAAGGGGCAAATCGAGACACGGTTTCATATTTACTTTCATAAACTCTATATAAAGAAAAAAAACTCATTAGTCACCTTATTTTTAAAAGTTTCAACATCATCTTCAAAATTCATGTTACTATGATAAATATCAATTAATAAAAAGGTGCCATCATATTTTTGCCTAGGATCTAAAATAGAAGCAAAAATATAAATCATAGGAATATCGGTGTAATATTTACGCCATTTTTCCTCCATGGATGGAAGATATCCACAATAAACATGTTGTGATCGGTGTTCCGCAAAAAGTTGTGCAAGTAAACATGCATTGCTAAGAAAAGAATGAGAACAAAGATTATATACAGAAGAAAAACAATGTGTCATACCATATAGTAATTGTAAAAACTGCATATATTTTTCACAATTAACCCAATCATCTTCTAGTAAAGCACATTGTGGAAATTTCATATTATAAAAAAGTGTTAAATGAACCTTGTACTCGATTGCCCAACTCAACATTTCATAGGTGGAGTTCCACCTAGTTGGACAATCCGGTGATATTTTTATGGTTTTTATCCGTTGTTGCCTGCAAAAACCTTTCCATTCTTGATATCTCATGTTAGAGCTATTAATAGACATAATAGCATTCCTTATTTTGTGATAAAATGGACCAATTGCTTGTGTTCCATCCTTCACACATAAGTTAAGAACATGACAAATGCATCTAACATGAAGTGCATCTCCATCTAACATAACATCGAGGTCAATTGGGATTTGACCAAATTCGCACTATATGTCATAGAAGTTGCATTATCGAAAGTCATAGACATGATTTTATGCCTAAGACTATATGCATCAATGGCTTCCATTAAATGATGTGAAATGTTAAGACCGGTATGAGGGTATTCAAGCATTTTAAAATGAATGATGCGTTTTTGTAACAACCACTCATTATCTAACCAATGACAAGTAACACATAAATAGTGAAGTCCGTATCCACCATCCCATGCATCGGCGGTTAAAGAAACTCTACTAGGAAGATTAGCTAATTCATTTACTAATTTCAATTTGTACTCTAGATAAGTCTTCATGGCAGCAGATCGAACGGTTTTTCGGGAGATTTTTTTGTGTTTTGGTTGTAGTGCTCGGTTAATATAGTTGTTGAAGGCATCATTTTCGGCAAAAAGAAAAGGTTTTTCGGCATGTAAAATCATTCTCCCAAGTTCATCCCTATCTCTCTCGTAATTGTAAATGAAGCCTTGTGGATGGAATTGAGAAATTTTAGGTTGGGTTGGATCACTAGATGGTCCACCACATTTTTTTGAATGTCTACTAAGGTGTCCCGTCCCTCCCTTGGTATCGGCCGAGAAAATTTTACCACAAGTCCGACACTTGGCTTTTTGTCCATTTTTACTTAATTGATAATGTGACCAAACTTCACTCTTTCTTTTGGTTTGAGCAAAATCCTCTTCGGTACACCACTCTAATATGTTAGGATTTTGGGTGGATGGTTCACTCGACCCGGAGGCTTGTGTTTGGCTACCTTGGGAAGGAGGAGGAAAAGGAAATTCATGTTGTTGAAATTGGGTTTGTTGAAATTGGGTCCAAGGAGCCATATCATCCATTTGTTCTTGCCCTCCCGTGTTTTGGGGATGAAAGAAAGGGGTGGAAGTGTTTGGAAAGGGCATGTTAGGGGAGGGAAAGGGCATGTTAGGAGGGGGGCATAGGCATTGAAGTGTTTGGGTTTGGTGATTCCCTACGTTTTGACTTGACTTTTCTAGAGGAAGAGGAAGAGTTCGGGTTTGATGCCATGATTAATAATAATAACAATAAAAATAACAATAACAATAATAATAATAATACAAATAACAATAACAAAGTAACAATAACAATAATAATAACAATTAACAACAATAATAATAACAATAACAATAAGAATTAGTAAGTAGTTTTTATATAAATTAAATTTTTAAAAATAATTATAATAATAGTAGATTACTTGGATCAATGAGATCCCAGGTAGGAGAGGTTAGGAGCGACGTTGTCCAGAGCCCAGGTCCCGCCTTAGACAGATTTCAACAATCCAAATAACCCACAATTAAAATAGAAAGTAGTTTTTATATAATTAAGTAGTTCCAAGAATACAATAATAATAGTAATAATAATAATAATAATAATAATAATAATAATAATAACAATAATTAATAACAAGATTAACAACTAACAATAACAATAACAATTAAAATAAAGTTGAGTTAGATCTTACAATGACGCTTCAATGCTTTCCCAAATTTATAATTTCCCGAATTTATAATTTTCCGAATTTATAATTTCCCGAATATAAATATAACAATATATTTTTTTTTGGTAGTAGACTAATAAAAGTAATAATAGTAAAAATGTAAAATTTATAAGAGAGTAGGAATTTTTTTTTTCTTTTCACAAAAGAGAGCAAGATTGTAGGATTTGTAGGAATTTGAGAATTGAGAATTTGAGAGTAAGAAAATTAGAGAATAAGAGAGAAGAGATGAGTTGATGAATTGTGAAAATTTTGGAGGAAAAAATGAGGTATTTATAGGGAATTTGGGTGGAAAATGGGGTGGGAAACTAGCCGTTTATAGCTGTTGGAAAACGACCAAAAATGGCTAGTTTCCAACGGTCATTTGGCACGGGTCGTGCCGTGCCGGGCCGTGCCTCGTGTCGTGCCGGCGGGTCGTGCCAGCGTGCTGGCCCACGTGCCGGCCCACGTGCCGCCCGCCGTGCCACGTGCCGTGCCCGTGCCGTTTTCCAGAAAATTGTTCACGACACGGCCCACAAGTGGGCCGCCGTTCCGTGCCGTGCCGAAGTCGTGTCGGGCCCGTGCCGGCACGGCCCGTGCCCATGTTTAGCTACAAGTACATTGTACAAAATGAGGAGTATGGCACTTAGAGAGATTAATGGTGGTCATGATGAATCATATGGCCATCTTCCTAGATATTGTGAAATGGTTAAGCAGACCAATCCTAGTTCATCAGCTTTTTGTGCTTGGAAGCAAAGAAATGATCCACCAAGGTCTCTAGTTTTTTCCAACATTTTCATCTCATTCAAAGAGGTTATAGAAGGGCTGGCTGCAGGGTGTAGGAGTCTAATTAGGGTGGATGGTGCTCATCTGAAGGGAAATTATGGAGGTGTCCTTTTATCAGCAGTTGCTACAGATGGGAATAATGAACTGTATCCCTTTGCATGGGCTATAGTTCCCGTTGAAGATGGAGAATACTGGAAGTTCTTTATTTGTCATTTAAAGAACATATTGAAAGATTGCAACAGAGGAAACGAATGGTGCATTATATCTGATAGACAAAAAGTAAGAGTTCTAGAACTTAATTCATTCCTTTTCTTTATTCAGTATATTGTATCATGTTTAATCTAATATCCAATTATATACCATGTCCAGGGAATAGATCTTGCCTTAACTGAGTTGTGGCCAGAAGTAGGGAGGAGATATTGTTGCAAACAATTGGTTAAGAATTGGAAAACCTCTTTTCCTGGTCCTTTGATGCATTCTCTATTCTGGCTAGCATGTAGTGCTACTTCCCCATTCACCTTTAGAAAGGCAATGTGTTGACTCGAATGAACAATACAAGAGGGGGGGTGAATTGTATTGTAGAGGAACTAGGGTATTTTTTTGCGGAATTTATAAAGGAACTCAAATAAAATCTAAAAGTGCAAAGAGAGATTTTACGTGGAAAACTTCTTGGCCTTAATCAAGAAGAAAAACCACGACCACAAGGGATTTTAAACTCAATTCTTAATAATAATAGGGCAAACAACCTATTACAAATTAAGACTCTAAACTCAAGTTCCTCTATGAACTTAAGCTCCCTTCAACTAATCCCTCAATCAGTCGAACTCTCAAACTCTCTCTCTTTCTCCTTGCTTCACTCAAAGCAATAAAACACTCTTAGAGTTTCCCCAAACTCTAACCCAATACAACTCAAAGATTAAACTCTAAATTGCTAAGTACAAAGACACTCAAGGACTTAAGTGGATTATGACTCTTTTTCAAAAGCTAAAAGACTATAATGCTCAAGTGTATTTCTCCAACTAAAAACCAAGGCTATTTATAAAAGAGTTTGGCAGTTAAATCGTAGTTGCCTTAATCACCACTTAATCACAACTTCCTTAAACTAAGGAAGTGCAATTCGTGGATGCTTGAGCAGCAAGCTGAGCACATTACAAGGAAGTGGTTTACTGCTTCCTATTTTCTCTCAACTTCCTTGACCAAGTAAAATAGCCGTTTATAAAGAATATTTTCCAAATTAGATTTTCCAAAATAATAGGATAGAATTAAAACAGAAAATCTTTTTAACTAACAAGACATTTTAACTTAAAAAATATTTTTCGAAATAAAATTAAAACAAGTTAAAATATGGAAAATAAAATCTTTATCAAATTAAAATTAAATCCACTTAAATCAAATCAATTGCAATGTACTTAACACAAATACAAGTTTCCTAAAGTAAAGATAAAATACATTAGACTCCTTGATACTCTGAGAAGCTTCGACTCTGAAGCTGCAGTTCCTCACCCAAGGAACTTTCCTTTGAAGCTTCAACTCTTGAGCTTCAGTTCCCTTCAAGGAACACGACTTGATTGATTTCTTTATTCTTCCATAGCTAGCTCTGATCTTGTTCCATGCTCCCTTCTCACTCAAGAATTTCCTAGCACGAACCTGTCACAAATCAAAGCTAAAACCGAAAGTTAAACTCGTTATAGGTTTGCTGAGGTTCCTTGAGTCATCATCAAAACATGTAAGGTCAACACAATGGAAAGGATACAAAAGACAAACAAGCTTGCACTGATATGGCTATCTAAACTAGGAGACCAATCGAGGTGGTCAAAACATCAATTTGACCCTAAGATATGTAGTGATGAGAACAAGACTAACTTTGTGGAGAGCTTCAATGCTACACTAGGGATTGAAAGATGCAGACCTGTGTTGACTTTATTGGAAGGTAAACTAATTACAAATTTTTTTTGATTTGATTATAGTGAACAAAAACTAACTTGAATTTGCATCTTATTGTGTGACTCAACTATAAGAAGGATGTGCATGGTGAGGATAGCAGCAAGAAGGCAGAAATGTCAAGCTTGGAATGAATCACAGCCATGTCCTAATATTGTCAAGAGGATTCAAAAGCTCATGCTTGATTCTAGATCATGCAAAGCCTTCGAGAGTAAAGAAGGAGAATATGAGATTAGGGAAGGAAGATCAATGCTTCATGTGTCATTGAACAAAAATAGTTGCATTTGTGGGGCTTGGCAGATATCTGGGATACCCTGTAAGCATGCATTAAGAGCAATATTGTATGCAGGACATGATCCACACAACTATGTTAGCACATGGTACTCTGTAGCAGCATATAAACAAGCTTATGGGCCTGCTATCAACTCAATCCCAGATCCTGAACATTGGCCTCAAATTGACCAGCCCACCATTAATCCTCCCCCAATGAGAAGAGGCATTGGAAGGCCCATCTAGACAAAGGAGAAGAGCAGATGATGAGCCAGATAAGGGTAAAAGATCTAGCACAGTTCAATGCTCAAATTGCAAGGCATATGGGCATAATTTAAAGACATGCAAGGGTGGTTTGAGTGCAAAAGAGAAAGCATCACTGAGTTTTGTCATTGACCAACATAAGAGACAGAAAAAAGTCCATCCATTTGGTTCCCAGACAACTCAACCAACAGGATCTCAACCCTCAACAAGCCAACCAACTGGTTCTCAACCCTCAACAACACAAAGAAGGAGAAAGACCAAATCTCAACCAAGCTCTACATCTCAACCACTGCAAACTTCAACCAGGATGCAAACTATAAGCTCAACCTTGGTTTTTTCTCAGCCACAAGTTGTTTCTCATTCATCTCAGGCCACATACAAAAGTAAAGGCAAAGGGAAACATAAAGCCTAGATGTTTTTCATATTTGATTCATATTAATTTTAAGTTAGTTTCATATTTTCATGGATATTTGATTTCAATTAGTTTTAAGTTGTAATAATCTAGTTAAACTCAAGTCTTTTGCTATACTAAACTGAGTTATTGGTAATTTTTTACTAAATTTTTACTCATCATTCAAGTGTTTAATTGCATTTGCAAATTATAGTTTTTTGCATGTGTTGTTCTTTAAGATATTCAACTTTATTCAATATAATCCAAAAACAATGTAAAACCAACATAAATTGGAAGTTAATAATTAATAAAAGGGAAATTTTATTCATTAATATAACTGATTACATCAGCTTAATTGTAATTGGAGCAAATCCTTACATTTTGCATCTAACCCAGATCATCATTTCAATAAGATTAATAAGCAAATAACAACAACACCAACAACTATCTTCAGAATTATATTAAAGCTACTGCGCATATCTCCAACAATCTTCTGAATTTTTTGTAGGAATGCAGTTACATGGCTTCATCTTCACCCAATTGAAGCAACCATTAGAAGCGCACCTATACTTTGATGTAATTAAACGAAAATTCATCCGTTCGCGCAGCGAACCCGAATGAACTGGTAACCCTTCGTGGAATGAATTAGAATGGTAATTTTTAAATATACCTGGTAACCTCAAAGCTGCCCCGAACAATTGATCTTCAGTCGTAAATACCAATTTTCACGGCAATTCCCAAAAATTAACCCGAAAAATCGATCGAAAAATACTCCCGCAAATTGACTATGTCAGATGGAATTTGTGCGCAATTACAAAATAACGCCAAATAATCTCCACAAATTGATTAATTTCATCAAAAGTTTTTTGTTTTTTTTAACATATTAAAGTCGCAAATTTGAAAGAGAAGATGAACAGTTGCTGCTCTGATCATTTGCGTAATGGTTGAATTGGGGGTGAGTGTTTAAGTCAACATTAATGATTTAGGAGAGAAGTGTTAAAATAGGGGTAAGTTAGTAATTGCAGCAAATAAGGTTAAAAAGATAGCCATAATCCACTTATTAACCTGTTTTAAGTGAGATTAGGCCACTATTTAGAGTTTAACAAAAGTTGGGGTTCACTAGAGACTAAGTTGATTTTATTTTTCCACCAAATAGAAATTACGGAAGTTGAGGGCCACCATGTAGAATTTCCCAAAAAAAAAACGGTTTGTTTAACAATGTAATTAACTATTAGGGCCTGTTCCGATTGACTGAACTCAGCTGAACTGAACTGAACTTATTAATTAGTGATTTTTAACTACGGATTAGTGATCTTTGATTATTTATTGATTATTTATTACTATACATATGTGTATATACAAATGTACATATTATTATTATTATTATTATTATTATTAATGATTATTATTATTATTTATTGATTATTATTATTAGTATTATTGTTATTTTTATTATTATTATTATTATTATTATTATTATTTATTGATGATTATTATTATTATTTATTGATTATTATTAGTATTATTATTTTTATTATTATTATTATTATTATTATTATTATTATTTATTGATGATTATTATTATTATAATTATTATAATTATTATTATTATTTTTAATATTATTATTATTATTATAATATTATTATTATTATTATAATTATTATAATTATTATTATTATTTTTAATATTATTATTATTATTATTGTTGTTGTTGTTGTTGTTGTTGTTGTTGTTGTCGTCGTCATCGTTGTAATAAGATCTTAAAAGAATGAAATTTGGCTTTATATCATTAGCAATATCATTAGACGTAAATTAAGAGCTGTACTGAACTGAACTGAACTGAACTAAACTGAACTGAGCTGAACTGAACTGTACTGAACTGAATTTCAACGGAAGAGAACAGGCCCTTAATAACAACTTTAATTAACAATTAAAATATTTTTAAAAAATTTCTTCAAAAATATTTTTTTTAGAAAATATCTCTTCCACCAGCCACCCTCTCTGCCCTCCGGCACCGATCGCGCCCAGAGCCACTCCCCGATGCAGGCGCCGGCGCCGACCCCCGTCCCCTCGCGTCACCCGCTTCCCCCTTCCCTCTTCCCTCTTCCCGGCGCTGCCTGAACCATTGAATCCCCTCCCCCAAAGTCCCTCCTCCCCCACCAACAACCGACCTCCCCCAAACCTGATAGCGTCAGCCCAGCCACATCGTCGACGCACCACCCATTCCTACCCCACTTTCGCCGCCTTTCTCCCTCCAAACCATCATCATAGAAACTCTATTCCCCTTCCTCTAAACCACCATAAACGTAATCCCCTCACTCCCCACAAAAAAAAAAACCACGAAGCATCCTTCTCCTGCCCCAGAAACCCGCAATCGGACCTTCCCCCATCATCAAAAACCCTAGCCGCTAGGGTTTTGGGAGTGGTGGAAGTGGCGATTTGGGGTTTTCGGTGGTGGACTGGGGGGGTAATGGCTTTGTGGGTTTGTTGTGGAGTCGGGGAGGGGAGAAGGAAGGGTATGGCTGCGGGGATCGGGGTTGCCAGCGAGGGTGGTGGCTGCAACGTCAATAAAGGGTGGCCGGTAGTACGGTCCTGGCGCCGGGGAAGGGGCGGCTGGTGGAGGAGGGTTGTTTTTTTTATAATTATATTAATAAATAATAATAATGATAATGATAATAATAATAATAATAATAATATGTGGAGTTTGCTATAAAACGCACACGGTACGTATTAAGTGTCGTCATGGTGGGGATGAGGATGTGTCACCCCCTGATGAAGGTGATGGTGTTGTTCATTTTGTGCTTCATAATTTCACCAAGCCGCAATCTCCTTCTTCTCCTGCTCGAGTTGATCGTATGGATGGATAGGTGCGAGATCATAACGGTGGTTTTGATGTGGCTCTCCATTGTGTATTCTCTAAGAGGTTTCGCTCTGTTAAGTCTATCCCTCCCAAGTGTCGTTTGGGGTTTTCTAGGGTTCTGAAAGGTGCTCTTGATAAGGTGATCTCTAAGCCTGATGACATTTCTAATTGGGTCTCTTTGTTGGTGTTACCTCTTTGCATCCTTAAAATCTTTCGCCCGCGGAGTAGTCGTGAGTCTCGGTCTTCGGTAAGACGTTGGCATCAAGAAGAGAATATTTCCCGTGCTATTTGTTCTTGGAGTGTAGCGGGTGGTAATTTGCAGCTTGTGAGGGAAATTTTGGCAGAGGATTCTCCTACTTTGTCGTCGGTTGATGATGAGGGCATTGATTTGGAAGAGCGTAATATTAAGCAGTGTCGTAGAAAGATTTGTGATGGCCATTACACTGCTGCAGTTCGGGTTCTTTCTTCTTCAGGCGTTGCACCTTATAATGACGCCACTCTTGCAGATTTACAGTCAAAGCACCCTTCATCTCCAGCTCCATCCTTGCCTGATATACCTATTGATCACCTTCATCTCGTTACGACTGCTGCTGTTGTTTTGGATCGGATTAGGAGTTTCCCTCGTGGCACATCATGTGGTAGGGATGGTTTGCATGCTCAAAATCTTATGGAATGCTTGAGTGGTGCAGCTGTGGCAGTCTCAGATGAGTTGGTTGACTCTATTACTGGGGTGGTTAATCTCTTTCTAGCTGGGAGATGTCCTATGGAATTAGGAGAGTACATTGCTAGTGCTCCTCTTACGCCACTTGTCAAGCCCGATGGTGGTATCCGTCCTATTGCTGTGGGTACGGTTTGGCGGCGTCTCGTTTTGAAGGTGGGTGCTGTTATGGTTGGTCAGTCTTTAGGGAGTTACTTTGATGGTCTTCAATTTGGTGTTAGGGTTTCTTCAAGTGGTGAGGCAATTCTTCATGCGGTGAATCGGTTGATTGAGGACTGTGGTTCTGATGTTGGTTTATCTATGTTGTTGGTGGATTTTCAAAATGCTTTCAATCTGGTTGATCGTTCGGTCATGTTACGTGAGGTACGTCGTCGTTGTCCGGGCATTTCGCGATGGGTAGAATTCTGCTATTCTAATCCAGTCAAGTTGTACTATGGGGACCATACCTTATGGTCGTCTCAAGGGGTGGAGCTGGGTGATCCCTTTGGTCCTTTGCTTTTTTCTTTGGTTTTACAACCCCTGGTGTGTAAAATCAGAGAGACTTTTAATGTATGTCTTCAGGCTTGGTATTTAGATGACGACACGATTATTGGTGACACTTTGGTGGTGGGGCAAGTTCTGCAGTTGATTATGGAGGAAGGACCTCGTTCTGGGTTATGTCTTAATGTGGAAAAAACTGAAGTTTTCTGGCCTACAGAAGACCCTCGAAGTAGGCTGGTGGATGTCTTTCCACCTAATATTGCTCGACCTTTGTGTGGTGTTAGGTTGCTTGGAGGTCCCGCTAGTTCCGATTCTGGTTTTAGTGGTGAGCTTGTGATGCAGAGGGTGACCAAGACCATTGCCCTTAAGAATAAGGTCGCTATGCTCGATGATCCTCAGTGTGAGCTGTTGTTACTTAGGGCATGTACTGGAGTTTCAAAACTCTACTTTGCATTACGTACTTGTCCTCCTAGTACTTTTGAGGTGGCTCAGCGCACTTTTGATACTGCCCTTCGATCTCCTTGGAGCATATTGTTACTACTTTGGGGCCTGGGTTTGGTGATTGGCAGTGGCGACTTGCCACCTTACCATTTGCGTTTGGAGGGCTTGGTGTTTATTTTGCAGGTGATGTTCGTCACTATGCTTTTCTTGCTTCTCGGTTACATTCAGCTGGGTTGCAGACACAACTTCTTCGGCATGCTGGCATTGTTGGTCTTGGACGAGCCTTTGAGGATGCGTTGAGTCTGTTTAATGGAACAGTGGAGTCTGACATTTTGAGTAATCCCAGTGAGGTCGCTGCCCCTAAACTCATGAAGAAATTGGCAGATATATATTTCACAAAGTTTACCGCTTCTGCAGAATCTACTTATTCTTTAACTCCTCGACAATCAGCATTATGGAAATCACAGCAGGGTGATCACACCTCTGCTTGGCTTCGGGCGGTTCCTATTTCAAGGTTGGGTCAGACGATGAACGCCAAGACTTATCGCTGTGTGTTGTCCTATCGGTTGGGTGTTCCATTGTTCTCTATCTCGACGTTGTGCTCTGCTTGTTCGAGGGTTTTTGCTGGAGATATTTTCGGTGATCACGCGGTGTCTTGTGCTGGTATTG